CCTCCGGCCATGTGCTCTGTTCAACACAAGAAGGATAATCTCAGAAGCTGACCAGGCAGCACACAAACCCTGCTGCGAGTGCTGCTCTGAAGTCAGTCACTCTGCTGCTGCTACCACAAAAGCCACCGGAACATGAAGTCAGCGAACAAGGCATCAATCAGGACCCCGCTTCAGCACTGAACGAGCTACTTGACAGGCGACGAACAAGAAGGGGAACAAGACAGAGAGACGTTGTGGAGAGAAAATTATGCAAAGCAAGAGGACAAAAAAGAAAGATGCAACACACCAGTGAGCAGGAAACTGTAAGTGGGGGAGTGGAAAAACCAGAGAGAGAGAGAGAGAGAGAGAGAGAGAGAGAGGGAGGTGCGGCGCGTCAGACCTGTGCGCTGCTGCTGGTAACCAGGCAGGGACAGACCTCGTCTCGTGGGGGGAGCGACTTAATCAGCAATGAATACAACAAGAGGGAAAAAAACTGTCTCGCTCTATCAGGGTCCCAAGCTCAGAGAGCACAATCTCAGACTCTCCGTACAAAACAATCCTGCGTCAACTAAGTTTAGGCCAAACATAGGACAGAAATACTACTACGACTACTGCTGCTGACAACGGTGCAAATGGCTTCTGATCTCCACGGGACTCTGGGCGGTTTGTAGTAGCAAGCTCGGAGTAGCTGTCCAGGTAACGATGATCCGACGAGGCGCGGATGTGTAACGTTTTTGTTCTTCACCATTCGGACTACAGACTGAACTGCCTTGAAGGTAAAAGGCTCACCTTGCCCTGTCTTTGGCATTCTGTATCTGCCTGCATGTGTGTGTGTTTGTATGTGTTGCATTGATATAAAAGCTTTAGATGTTTGATTCAGACAGCAAACATAAACATAAAATAGAGATATGATCTAAAAACAAATGTTGGAAATGTTAAATGATTATTATCTTATAAACAACAGATCTTAAGATTTTTGACTGAGCAAAAAAACGAAGAGAAATACCCCTCATGTACAAACATTGAGAGCAATCAAGCTACACGTTTTGTCTCACTACATGCCGGGTTGGTCTCAGTGAAGGAAGGTGTGAATGATGGGGGTGGGTGTTGGTGGCGGGTGTTGGTGGCATCTTGACGGAAGATTAGAAACGTGCATATTTTCATGACCCCCCCCCCCCCCCTCTATGGAAATTTGTATCTTTGGTGTTGTTTTCCAGGAACAGCAGGACTCAAGTGAGGACACTTCACCGACATGGGATTCGGAATAGTCCTCAGAGACATTCTCTCCAAAGAGCAACGTGCGGCTAACTTGTAGAATGACAGACAGACGTATGTGAAGTTTTGAGACAGTTTTGGGAGTTTAGCTGGATGGTAACAGTCTCTGAGAATGCCTTGCATTAAGATTTTAGTCAAAAATAGACCGTGACATATAATAATACTAATTAGTTATTCCCAGGTGGCAGGCTCTTTGTGCCTCTGTATCACATACTACTCGTCAGCTAGGACGGTTCCTTGTGAGTGTTGTGTTTTACGTGACAGACAGACTGCCGGGTATCACACGTATTACCACGGTACTGCTCTTCTCTCAACTCTCTGTCCCGTCGGTCTGAAACCTTTCCTCATATCTCACAAAATGTTGTTCGTTTACTTGTCGCTATCTGTTGTACCTTGCACATGACGTTCCTGAGGTATTCCTGTTTGTACAGATTTCAAATGATCCGCCAAAGCTCCGTCACTCAGTCTCTATATCGTGTTTCAATAAAAGCTGTAATCACTTTCATCATTGAGAACATTCATTTGTCAATTGTTTTTCAGTGAATGAAAATTAATATAAATCAATTGGTTCAATCTATGAAATAACAAATCACAGCCATTCTCAATTACTCATACTCATTTTTTTACATTTGCAAAATGTGTTTTATTTATAATAAGAAACAAAAGAAAGCAAACTATAGTCAGATATTGTCTATTATTTTTATGTGATAATTGACAGATGATTGATTATTAAACTATCTCATCATTCCAGCACTAGTGTAGATGCATCTTCCTTACAGAGATAGACATATTCATATCAAAAACTGCCATGAGTGTATTTAAAAAGGTTTATTTTAGTACTGTATAGTTTGTAGACTGGTGAAAGTAAAAAAAACAATATTTATTATTTGGCACATTTACTTCATGCTTTTTCAAATTAGAAGCCAATGAGAGAGAAGTTATATGATAATACTAATGATTGTGATCATAGTCATAAGGATAACAATATTATTAATATATACATTTGTCGTTTTTTTTTTAATTTAAAGACGAAAGGAAAGAGAAGACAAAGTGAAAAGAAAGCCAAGAATTTGATTTGTCACTAAAAGACCAAATTCTGTACACTAAACTACATTTCTTGATCTAAAAACTTGCTCCATCAATTAGCGCTGACCTACATATTTAACCCCATTTCATATCCCTCAGGAGTTCAAGACCCTAACTGCGAATTACCAACGTGGATGTCTTTTGTCGCAGGAGTTGTATCTGTGGTGGTGCTGTTTGGATACGGTGACGCAGGGCTATTATGTACCAGCTTGAGGGGACCAAATGGAGCTTCCTGTTGTGCCTGGGGATGAGTATCATTATCTGTTCAGTTATTTACATGAGGGCCAGGATGCCGACAGAGCCCAAGCTGCTAGAGCCTTCAAGCTGCAGGCCCTTCTCCACTGGATGTAAAGCTTTACTGCCCGGCGTGGAGGAAGGCGTGGAGTGGTACCGCCGTGACTGCCAGGTAAGTCGATATAATACAAGTTAAACTGAAGTGAGAATCACAAATGTTACATGGGTAACTATGTTTTGATGACAGGTGTAGTGTTAATACATTTTTTCTTTTTGTCTATAGGTGGAAAGCTATATTCTGAATAGTCGCATACGGTGTTCCAAATTGATCGGAGACCTACACTTCATCACGAGACCTCTGAGTCAGGAGGAGGAGGACTACCCTTTAGCTTTCATTGTGACCGTTCACAAGGAGCTGGAGCTGTTTGTACGCCTGTTGCGGGCCATTTACAATCCACAAAATGTCTACTGCATCCATGTGGACAACAAGGCGTCATCGGAGTACAAGGCAGCTGTACTGAAGCTAGTCGGCTGCTTTAAAAATACCTTCCTATCCAGCCACAGCGAGACGGTGACGTACGGTGGCTTTTCCCGCCTGCAAGCAGATTTTCACTGCATGAAGGATCTAGCACAGTCTAAGATAGGCTGGAGGAAGGTGATGAATCTGTGTGGACAGGATTTCCCCGTCAAGAGCAACCTGGAGCTGGTGCGGTACATGCAGAGCAAAGAGTGGCGGGACAGAAACATGACGCCCGGGGTCAAGCAGCCGGTGTCCATGAGGCACAGGACACAGCTCCGGCACAGGGAGATAATGGGCTCACATGTAGCTCTGACAGGGCTGGGACTGAAGAAGGGTCCGCCTCCACACAATCTGCAAGTTTATTTTGGAACGGCGTACTATGCTCTCACGAGGGATTTCGTAGACTTTGTTCTGAAAAGCCCAATAGCCCGGGACCTCCTGGAGTGGTCCAAAGACACGTTCAGTCCAGACGAGCACTACTGGGTGACCCTCAGTCACATCAAAGGTAAACAGTTTCAAACGGGTGCACAGGGGGCCAAAGTTATGCAGCGCAGATCCTAGAAAAGAACTATTAATTATTAACTTGTGTGATTATCATGTTTAAACACAATGAGTTGTGCGTTACAGAAACAATCAATGCAACAAGGTCAAACAGCACATTTGGTCCCTAAACATTTTACACAGACTCATTGACTGGGCTTTTATGTCAACATTTAAAATTAGCATGAGCGGTGTGAACTAATGCAATACGATGGTAAGGGACAACACCCGAGTTAATCCCCTTTGTCGAGTAAAATTAAAGCGTTTTTTTACGCCTTACTAACAACTTGCACAGACGGCACTTATGTGTTCTTGAAGTACCGCAGATCCTTTATTTTCATCCCACACATACGGCACAAAGGAAAAAAGTACAGCTTATGATCAAGAAACATTTATCAGGAGTTCCCCTCCGATATCCTACGTATATGCACCTTTGGTAGTGTGGGCGTTTTTTCCACACTCGAGTAAATGATCGAGACAAATCGAATTTGAAACTACGGTTTTCCTCCTGCATTCAACAGACAAGCATATCAATTCTCAAGAAATACTGCCATTGCTCTTTACCAAGAAACTGACTCAAGGGGCCGGTTGAAATGCAGTGGGCTTATTTCCCCTTTTTAAGAAATGAAGTGGAATAAACTGTAATCTTTTGGCAACATATCTGTCCTGAGGTAGCAGACTTTATCTTAGGAAAAAGCCTAGTCTTAATGTCTGCACTGTTTTGCACTGAACCCTCACAGACTGATATCAATATTGATCATTTCATCAAGACATTAGCAATACCTTAAACTCTTTGTAATTTCTCTGTTCAGGATTCAGGATTATTGTTCACAGGGCTGTGTTTATAAGTGATGAGTAAATACTAGGCCTGTTTGGATGCTTCCCATAGATGAGCTTAGGGAAGCGATTGTGCACTGCTATTGTGCACTGAGGTAGGAAAGTTAACTAGACATGTGAATGAGGTGAAGAGGAAGCCGCACTGAAAAGCGTACATGCACGAGCTTCACAAAGAGGACGTTTATGCTCGAGAAAGTGTTTTCAAACAGCTCATTTAAGTTTTACAAAAAGAAAAGGCTTATGAAGGAAGACTCACTTCCCCACCTCCGATAAAGAGGTCGCAGTCGCTTCCCCCACAAAGCTGTTCCTCTGGAAGCATCGGGGACAATCTCCCACACGGTGGATGTGAAAGTTCGAAAGAGGGAAGTAAATTAAAGTAAACTAAAAGTTCAATCAAGTCAAATAACTAGAATTAGTCTTGTCTGGTTGTGTGTTTGAAGAAGCTCCAGGCAGCCATCTAGATGGAGGTTGGGAAGGAGACGTCCGGTCCATCAAGTGGCGGGATCAAGAGGGAACGACACACAGTGGCTGCAAAGGTACAGTACAGAGCTGCATGTGTAATAATGAGGTACTACTTGGTTGATTAATCCCTGTACCACAGGGCTCATCTGTGGTCTGGCTTAAATTCTACTCATCTTGTGTGTATAGTGAATTATTGATACTATGTGAATCGGTAATCTAATTTACAAACAAATGATCACATTAGTCCTTTTACAGCCAAACCCACTATGACACATATAAACATGTACTGATTAATAACTTTTCCTTCACATTAACCTACCGCATACTCTCTCTCTTATGACAAAAACATTGTCTGCTCTTTACTCTTTGTTTTATGTTTGGCTCTTTGGCTCCAGACAGGATTACAGGACCAGTTACTTGCAAAGGTAACACAAGATTTACAGAACAAAAGATGATAAAAAGGACAGATATGAGGGTTTATCTGATATGACGTGCTCTTCAGTAGGTTGTCTGTTTTGAATGACCTTTTACAGGTTAAAGATTCAAAAAAAAAAAAAAAATAGGGTTTTTATGTAACAATGTGCAGTAAAACAAACTCAGACCTTCTATCTAATATATAAGTAAAGACCAATATTGTTGTTGTCATGTTCCAGGGCATTACGTACGAGACATCTGTATCTATGGCGTGGAAGACCTGCCGTGGATCATCAACAGGAACAGCATGTTTGCCAATAAGTTTGAGCGGGACACCTTTCCTGAGGCCCTGGACTGCCTGGAGCAGTGGCACAGGACCAAGGTGTTGAACCAGGCGACTGTTTCCATAGAGCCATCGTGGCTTCTGGCCACACAGAGCAACTCAAGCCGCAGCTACTTCAACAGCACCGCTGGAGCATGAAATCGCTGTTGGCTGCGAATGCCAAAAATGTGGGCAGGAAAAAAAAGCTGAACCGAGAACTTCAGGAGGAGGAACGATCCCCTTCCTCTGTGACAAGACTACCGGTTACGCACATATTTGTCCATGTATGAAACTCCAATGGCTGTCCTGATAATCAGAAGACAGTGTGACTAAAATAACTTCACAGTACAGCAAAAGTACAGCGAGTTCTATTTAAAATATACGAGTATATAACAGATACTATTTGAGACAACTGCGCTACACAAGGTATTTAACAACTGAATATGAATTTCATATTGTTTAATTAAATTAAATATTTGATGTTGTTAAATTTAATATTGTGTGTTCCAGTTAAAAAAGCAGTTTTTTTATTTAATTGTGTAGCAGGTGTATACTAACAAATAAAGACGATGTAAAAAAAATCTCCCTTCTTTCCTTTTCAAAACAAATGATGCCACAGAGGAGAGGGAGGGGCGGACCATACCAGTCTCCTCCCTCCCTTCACAATATGCCACGGCAACATTAATTCAGCACCACGCGTCAATGGAAAGCGTCAGATAGTAAACAAAGTGCACTACTAAATTGTAAACAGAGTATGAAGTCTAGGGCCGTACCAAATAGTTGGAAGCTTCATAGCTTCATTCCAAATGTTGAAATAAATATCAGGCTCCACTAACATCATAAGTATTGTTCTATTTTTAAATTAGATTCCAGTGGTGGCTGCGTAGAATTCTTTCAAACTCATGGGATCCAAACATTTCCCATAACTCCAGAGCGGAAAGTATAAAAATATAACTGTATTGAAAAATGACGTCATCTTCTCCAAAATTCACATGTTTTTATCTGAAAAAAAAACAAACATTCTGCTTCTCACCATATTTGTTGGTCTTTCAAAAACAATACTTCCACTGCAGAAAACCTACTTCTCCAATTTTCAGAGTTGTCCATTGAAATAGCAGTGAGCCAGGTGCAGGCACCGTTTACCAAAAGAGGAGTTGGACACGCCCACAATGCACATGCACCATCATTTTTAGACCATAGACCCTAAGAGTCCATAGCCATGAACAACTCTGTGAGGCTGTGCTTTGAGCTAAATGTTAACATTGTCATGCTAACATGCTCACATTGACAGTGCTAACATGCAAATATCGAGCAGGTTTAATGTTCACCATCTCTCTTTAGCGTGTTAGAAAACAAACATTTTCTAATCAGCACAAAACACAAGTGGCTGAGGAAAGTGAAAAGTACTTACTCCTGTATTCCTAATGGCATTATCTAGAAAGTCACTTTACTATAAAGCACTTAAACAGAAGCATTAAGTCATAGTCTCAGGAATAAGGTTAGCTAAGGTTCGTGATAACAGTGGTTATTCAATATTTAGATATATTTATTTACAAAAGTGACTCGCTCCGACAAAGAGCTGCAGGCTCTGATCAGTTGAGGTAAACTTCAAACCTCTATCGCACACAATGAAGGTAAAACACACAGCCGTAGGGTGTGTTCAGACCACTAATGGCACTAAAATCAAAGGGGACTGCAAAAGTGTGGGCATGCTGCTTCAAGGTCCCGAGGCCAGATCTCAATGGCCATCCTCTATAGGCTCTGAACCGGTCCAGTTGCATGTGTCATGTCATGTTACAGATGTCAAAAAAAGAGAGTTGAGATCCCAGGAGAGCTGACTTAAATGAAGGAATACATGTTAGATATGTGAATCAGGCAAAGGGGACATAAAGCATATACTTATAGTTAAAGGATGAAATCTAATAATCATATTAATGCAAGTGTGTAGTACGTAGAATTATGAAGTGATTTAACAAATGTAAAACTGATAATAATAACGTATGTGTATCTGAGTAAAGTGAAGTCTGTGTGTGTGTGGAAAGAGCTGATGTAAGCAGGGTGGGGGCCTTAAAGGCTGAGATCCTAACAGATGTTGGAGTGTTGTCCGAGCACATACGTACACGGGTGTAACCTGACACACGCTCAGAGCATTGAGGAATTGAGAGCACCCACACAGGGAAGTTAGGTAGTTTCCAGAACACACACACACACACACACAGAAAGATGGGTGTTGTTCGCAGTACATACACATAATCAATGATGTCATGATAATCATGTGCAGAGTTAGGAAGTGTTGGGGGGAGGAGCCCAAAAGTGTTATAAAAAGAGAGACTTGCAAAGAGCAAGACGGGATTCATCGCGGGACGCCGACCAAGTGCTCCATGGAGAAACACTGGACCTCGTTCGACAGCAGCATTGGAGGACTTCGTCTCTGTTCACGGAAAGAAGACAGCCGTTCGTGGACAAAGATTGAAAGACGGAGATTTTCCTCTCCCCCGTTTGACTTTAACAACCGGACAACAGATGGACGCAGCCGCCCTAAAGACTTTGTACTGAGCCTGAGGGATCGCTGAATGGACTTCATTGGCCGCGCAGGAGGAGCCGAAGGTCAGGCCAGACCTTCGCTCCTAAAAACCCCAAAAGGACTGTTTATTACACCGTGAATCCAGCTCCACCGAGCCGCCTCGGCATCGAAAATTAATGAGTATAATCTAAGAAGAAATTGTAACCTGATCGAATCGAGTATAGTATTATTTTATGTGAGCTGTAGCTGTGCCCCTGCTAATATATCCTGCAATAAATATCTAATCTGCATTTAAAGCAAATTTCTCAAGAGAATGCATTTGCCTAAGTAGTAAAAGTTCCTTGTGGCAGTAAAAAGTTAAATCTATTGTATGTTTAACAACAAGAGTTCTGAATGGTTATCCTAGTGACCACTCCACTTAACAGTCCCTTACGGTTTTAGTTGTAATCCTAGCCATTAAAATCTAACCTGGCAATTTACCAAGAGCCCGGATCCAGAAGAGGAAAGCTGCCATAACTGACGCGACTGGTAGAAGCACCCGGCCAGGGTGGCCCCTCGGCCGAGTGCACGTTACCAGAGGAAGCAGGGTAGACGTCAGGGGTAACGGTAGTTAGCAGAGCCAGGCGAGTTTCCTCACAGAACACCAGCTCGCCAATCTTTTAATAGAGAGCTGAGTCAGTAGGTAGCCCCGTATCGGGCCAGAGAACCCCCGGATCTAACACAGATTATTAGGATAGATGCAAAAGTGACTCTCAATATGCATGGAAAACCCGCAATGAATATCACTTTTCACAGCACTGGTCCAGAAAATGTGACAAATGTTTCATTGTATGAACTAAACATGATCACAGTGGAGTTCTGCTTTATCAGCTTTTTGCATATTTTTTGCTAAAGGTCTATCTAATAACTAATTTGCTTGTCAAATGTGAGATTAAATAAGAAGCAGGGAAATCCCGCTTAAATGTCAGTGGCTATAAATACAAGAAATTGTGGTTTGCCTAATAAGTCTATCTAAGCAAACATATCTGCAGAGAGATAATCAGTTTCCCACAAGAGGCAGTGTAGCTGTTCTTATGGTTTCAGGACCTATTTATGGCAAAGTTAAACAACTGATCCGTGCCAAGATGCTTTCACCTCCACAGACAGTCTGCTACCACATGATGGCCTGTGCATGAGAAATTACGACCACAGCTTTAAAGCTACTTAAAATAGCTCAGGTCCCCAAATTGTTGGTAGGCCTTGTCAAGTAGGTTTGAGATCCCAGAAGAGCTGCCCTGAAGTTAAACGAATAGAGAACGGACTAAGAAGATCAGGCCAAAGAACACAGAGCATATAGGATTAATATAAAACGTATAATCTAATAGTCGGTTTATGCATTTATGTATTGATATGAAGTGATTTAACAGCTACAGCTACAGCTGTAATGTGATAATAATAAAGAAAATGTTGTGCCATCCAACAGTTGATATCATAAAGACAGTCTAAAACAGCAGCTAGGCTTCTGGGGTCATCAGGTCTCAAGAGAAGGTATATCTGTGTGTCGTCTGCGTAGCAATGAAAAGAGACATTGTGACGTTGGATGATTTGACCAAGTGGGAGCATGTTTATGGAAAATAAAATTGGACCTAAAATTGAACCTTGGGGTACACCACATGTAATGTGAGATGTAGAGGATGCGTGATTACCTACGGTGACCGAGTGGGTTCTATCTGAAAGGTAAGAATAAAACCAACTAAGTGCGGCGTCCTTGATGCCAACCCAGGTTTTAAGACGGTTGATTTAAATATCATGGTCTATTCTCTATTGTGTCAAAGGCTGCACTTACTGTAGGTCCAAAATAATTAAAATGGAGCTCTAAAAACGGAAGTTTAGAAATGGGTCTAAAATTGCTATGAACAGAGGAATCAAGATTAGGTTTCTTTAAAAGGAGGTTGGACCACAGCATGTTTAAAAGTAGCTGGAACAGTTCCTGTTGCTAATGAACTGTGAATAAAATACTGGGACCACCTGTGTTAATAATCTCTTTACGAAATGGAGTTGGTATAGAATCAATACTGCACGTGGTTGATTTCATACGGGTTATGACTTCAGCTAAAAAGGACAGAGAAACAGGTTTAAAATTGTTAAAATATCTAGGAATATCTCTACTGACATGTAACGCATGGATCTGGGGGGGGGGGGAATTTGTTGCCTGATGTCCTTGACTCTGTTTGTAAAAAAGTTTAAAAACTGCTCAGCTCGGATTCGAGTGATTTGCTAAAATTAAGTTGGAGAAGAAGGAAGTTCTGGCACCTTTAACTGCCGTTTGATAAGTCTTCATTGCATCTTTCGAACTCTTGTAAAATACATAGACCTGTTTTTTTCTTTCTTCTACAGTCTCTCTTTAAATCATGGGTGGATTAATTTAGCCATGGCTGGGGTGTTATATTTGACCTTTTGTCTTTAAAGGGGCAACAGAGTCCAGGACAGTCTGACAGGTGTGATTAAAAAGGGAGACCAGCTCCTCTAAATTAAAATGAGAACAAAAGGCAGTTAAAAAAGCTGAGAAAAAATGCTCAGAAAACAAGACATAGAGTTAGAAAGCCGGCGGCGGACAGGAGACGTGTGAATGACTGGTTGAGGTTGGAATAAAACCGCTTTGTGATCAGACAGTCGGATATCTTTTGTCTCAAAGTTGTCAGGGCTGAGACCACAGTAAATAACTAGATGGAGGGTGTGACTCTGTGAGTGAGTAGGCTCCTGTATAGCCTGAGCGAGGTTAAAATAATCCAGAGTATCCATGAAATCAGTGACAAAAGCCTGTGAAGGGCAGCAGACATGTATGTTAAAATCAGCTAAAGTAAGAATTGTGTCATACTTTGATGTAAAATGGGATAGTAGCTCACCAAGTTCTTGGATAAAAACACCGTTAGGCCTGGGCGGTGTGTAGATTATTAAAACAATCACTGGATCCTTCACTATAAAACCAAGATGTTCAAATGAAGTAAAACACACATGTAAAATGGGAGTACATTTAACAGTTTAAAACTTTTCTGTACCCCCCCCCCCCCTCCCTTGCCCGACAGCCGGGGTTGAGAACGACAGTCTCCCTGACACAACCATGTCTCTGTGATGATTAAAAAAAAATAAATCTAATGTATTAAAAGCAATAAAATCCTGAGCTAAAAACAACTTATTATTTCAAATTGCTCCCGTAGCTGTGCCTACGGTGTAGAAATGTGATAGACTCTGAATTGTAAGTCGCTTTGGATAAAAGCATCTGCTAAATGACTGTAATGTAATGTAATGTAACGTATTTAGAGATCTGATATTTGAAAGGTCAAAACTAACAGGCTTATAGTCAGGAGCAGGAGGTTGCAGAGGGACTGTAAGTAAATTGTTCTGGTTAGCAGCAGAGGGGTTTGACATACAGCGCGCTGCAGAGGGTCTGTGATGGGAAGTGATGGTGGTTACAGGAATGGGTTTCTCGGTCCTGTAAACTGTTTTATGTGTCCTGATAAGAGCAGGTCGTCGGGACGGTTTAAACGGTTGAGTCAAGGATCGAGGAAGTGCTGCTGCATACGTCTCCGTCTCTGAGAGAGAGAGAGACGTATGCAGCATTGACCATATAAGGAAGTATACCCTGTTGGATCAAAATGTGTGTGTGTAAAAATTAATAGGCATGAGCGGCTAGGTGAGGAGTGTGGAAATGAGGATGGCTCAACGGGACAATAAAAAGAGAAGACTCAAAAGATTGAGTTGAGTCATTGTCAGGAACGGCTGAAAAAGATGAACAGTGAACCCTAAAGATGCTTAAAGACTCTTGGGTGAAAAATAAGTGATGTCCTGAGGACAGCTGGGCCTGTGACAATAGTTTACCTTGTTAACAATTATGACAGAAAAAATGCCAAAATAAAATATTGTGGCGAACAACAGAGAGCGAGCTGTATCCAGCGGTCAGAGGTGTGAGTTAATCGGTGTCCCCTCTCAATACACTCATAACGCACTAATAATAAATATGTCCCACAGTACTTAGGAGCTCGCACTCAACACCACACTTCCTTTGGTCCTCATCAATACACCCACCAAGTGTGAAGGTGATCGGGTCAATGATTGCTGAGAAAATCGAAGGACATAAATAAAGACATTCCATTTTAGTTAGGTAACCAAACATCTGCCAAAAACAATCACACATCACAATGGGGTCAAATTGGAGTAGGCTGCCAGCTTCCTATTGCACTACAAAGGGACAGTCATTTGTACTGTACCTTCTTTTTTTTTTTAAATATATAACTTTGAGTATTAGTAGTCTTCTAAATACCTTAAATAGTGTTTTTTTCTTCCACGCTACACAGATTTTCTGATGAGCTGACACAATTTATTCAACTAGTGTACAATGTTTTGAGATTCCCAAACCTCCCATGGGAGCTGTAAACCATTACACTTTTGATTATTAACACACACACTCTTATTTATCCAAGCAACAGATTTTGCATCTGGGACCACGTCAATGCCAGACTGCTAATGTTTTATCTACATTGATAACAATGCTGCTTATTTACCAAGCATTAGCAGGGACAGAACCGCAGGAGCAGAAGCACTGCCAAACATTGAGAGGTCACTGATGGAGAGGTTTATGGGAAGGAAAGATTAAAAATCTATTAAAAAGCATGAAAAAAAAACTAGTTTGCAGACCATTGGTTCATTGAAGAACATTTGAGTAGACAGACCGGGGGAAAAACAGATTAAATATTGCTCACCTTGTGGCAGATTTCTGTCTTGACCTCCTTCAGTGCCCTGTCAGAAAAGACACAGCCACAGGTCTGCAGGTAACAGAACCTGAAAAAGAAAACATCGAGGTATATAATACGTGCCATTTCCTGCACAAAGTCAATTGTCAATACAAGTATGTGCGGTGCATTCTTCTAACATTGTTGGATCTAAACGTTTGGATGAAAGTTAATACTGCTGATGAGAACAGCGAACCAACATATATTGACTTTTATAGCACGATGTGATCAACACAAAACTAGAATCTTTTGATTATACTCGATACATGGAGCAGGAGAGCACCCGCCTTTTTATTATTCTTAAGTTTTGGACACGTTGCTTGTTGTTTTGTTACCTGTGCTTGCCATTTATCTCCAACCCAACAACAGGGCAAATGAACATGCCGCCGTGCATGTCTTCATATACGTCTCCTTTGGTATTGCTTCTCTCCCCCTTCCACTCGGGGTTATCAGTCAAGTTCAGTTCCTTTATATCCTGTAAAGAGAGTGGATGGATTTACAGGTAAAACATTACATATGAAATCAATACAAGAGCATAGGGCTGGGCAATATATCAATATTGTAATAAGAGACTATATATCATCTTAGATTTTAGATGTCATAATACAAGTGTTGTCTTTTCCTGATTTACTTACTAGACTGTTCTAGCTGTTCTGTTATTTGTCTTTACCCACTTAGTCACTGTATCAGCATTACTGATTATTTATCAAAACTTGCATTTTGTAAATACATTGTGATCGCACCTATGGTCAACCCTACAATATTGCTGCAAAATACTGAGAGGTACTCAATACCATTTTGGTGTATTTTCTCCTTTTTCGCCCAGCCCAGAAGTGTGTGTGTGCACGCGCACGCGCGCGCACACACACACACACACACACACACACACACACACACACTTTGAGAGTAGAAAACGTCAGTGTCAACATACCTTGATCCCACGGATGTGGACTACGGCCTCAGCATTGGGTCTCTCAGCAGTCTTATCCAAAAGATATTCAATGATAGAATCTTTGTTGTAGAGCCTGAAACATAACACGGACCAACCAGACTTTTAGGACATAGTGTGCTGGAATAAGCAGGTATTTCAAATATGGGTAAATAGATGGACAATGCTAACTGGTCATGTCAGGCTCATTAGTTTGTGACACAAACACAATATGTGCTCTTGTGTTTGTCCATCAAACAAAACAGCCAACTCTCACCTTCCCAGATCACAGGCAACAATGGGGCGTCTGAGTTTCTCCTGGGTCAAAGCACAGTATTTCCATTTGGCAGACAACTCGGCATTTTTATCCACCTGGAGACATGGACAGGTATGTAAGATCACGCCATACACAAATAACGTTCATCGTAGTCAAACCTAAAGACACGAGTGTAACGTTACCCGTTGTTTTTGAAAAGCTAACGTTAGCTAGCTAGCTGTCGAGTAGTTCGCCAGCCTTCTTGTAAGCTAACGCAGCACAACGCCGACAGCATAAACAGCTAGCTAATATGTCATTATAAGTAAACAACATATCTAAAATAAGTGAATCTACCACTTCATCATTTCTTAGTATCGATGCAAATAGCCATACGCTAATAAATAACTACTGGCAACTAACGACAACAATGCTAACCGTTGTGACTTTGAAAAGGAAGAATAAATAAGCGTAACACACCTTCTCAACTTTTTTGGGGCCTTTCACCAACTCGTGTCTTTTAGGAATCGTGCCACCGTCACATCCCATCTTGAAGGCTGACTTGTAAAGTTGAGATTGAATCACGCAAACAGCTTCGGCTAGCTTACTGTGTACAAAGCTACCGACAGACAGGACGTTATCGGGTTGTAAACAAACAACGAGAGATTTGCAAAGCTCGCGGGATGTGCGGCCAATTTGATGTCGCCCTCTAGTGGCGGAATGAACTCTTCAGATGTATTTTGTAGGATCAGCCACAGTGTGGAAGCATCACCTCACATTTCAGTTTATTAGTTTCTGTACAGCAAGCAGTCCAAATGGGAGCTGCGAGAGGAATGCGAAGCAAGTAAACATTTTAAATAAATAGAAAAAATACAAATTAATTAACAGAAGCATGGGGAAATATTGCCATGTACTTACTAAGTAACTGATTACTAATAAGAACCTTTTCTTTAGTGATTTTCTTAGTTTTTCTACGCTATTGTAGCCATGCATGTAAATATGAAAAAACTATTTCACCCAGATTACTTCACCGGTTTACTGCCCATCCATCTATTAGACGTTTTCAGTCAGCCATTAAACCCAGTACTAGTAAGTGACATTAGTCTGCCTTTCAGGCCTGTTGTCAGAGTGGTCTAAAGATGAAAGTTTCCTTGGAAGATAGTTCAATGAGTGCTAATTAGATCTGTTTCCTGTGCCTTGCAGGCTGCAGATTAGTTTACTATCGATGGCGCTGTCCAAGAGCGACCATTAGTTTGGGGAATACCTCAGTGGAGACATCTCTGGCGGCATGACTGATCATCTGTGTGGAGAAGAAAACTGAATAAAAACACAGAATTTGACTTCATTTTGCCTGGGAAAATAGATTTCAACCTCTTCACGCTCACCACACACAGGCAGCTGCTACTGTGGTTGCCAAAATGTAGCAAAATTAACAAATATCAACATAAAAACATTTCTCCATTTAGCCTGTTTGTTCGATTGGTTCTTCCTGTAATCTATAAATTGTGTTATGTGTCTTATTGAATTTCACCCCTTTCTCACACAGAGCTAAATGTTTAGTATGGATTTTCATTAGAGGCAATGGAGTAAAAGCTCTGTTAGCAAACTATCTGTTGAGAGAGTGGAGAGCCCCAGGCTGATAGTGCAAGCCAACACCTAAGGAACACAATGCACAATGGCCACTGGACAAAAGGAGACTAGAACAATGGTCTTCTATCCTTGTCCTGCATGTTCTGCTGTTTTCAAACTGCAGAGTTCCATCATTTATTATAGTTGTGTGTATTCATGCCGGCTCGTACCTGATGCACCTAATCACAAAACATATTACAAAGATCTCTTGAGAGGAAAGTGAATTGACTCTTGGTAAAAAGAAAAAGTGACACATTGTTGTATTTTGTTCCTGTACTTTACATTGTAAAGTTCTAAATCAGCTATGAACACCGCTATAAATCTATGTTCAAGGACTGTACATCCAATGAATATGAACCTGATGTGTTAAAATGCAGTTGGAAGTTCAATAATTCAACCTTAAAAAATGCAGTAGGCATGTAGCAAAAATATAGCGACCTAACCGGTGTCAGACTCATTTCACAGTTGAAGTCACTGCAATCCAAATGTAGAATGCGTCACTGCCAGTGCCTAGTAGATCTCAACTGTTCTGATGTCTATCCTCTCTACCGTTTTACAGTTAAATCTGAGTTTGCACAGCTGAAATGCAGCTTTCACTTCCTTATATCTCACCCTTTGATTGACCTCCCTACCACACATATCTTCCTGGCCTGCTGTGGTGCTACCCAGCACGGCTGACCCAAAGAAAACCCCAACCACCAAGCGCCCATCCAACCTCATGTTTATACTTCCATGATGAGTCCAACCTGCCCAATCAGACTTCCACGGACTGGCCATGAAGTGAAACTGTATACATCTTAACCATCCCAGCCATCCGAGGCAGCCAGTGGAGACCAAGGCTGCATTAATTGCAACGACCAGCCCTGGTTGTGCACCGAGTCCAATGCATTTAGCGTTTCTAATTGGGAAGGAATTGCTTTGTTTACATTGGCCCTAGTTGATAGAGCTGGACCCTTACAT